GAATAGAGTCACTAACTGACCATCACATACAACGCCTCGAAACGTAATGTGCTTGTAGTAGTTTAGGCAACGGACGCTATGATTATTGTAGATATGGAGCCTGCAACCTCAGATTTGCATCACATATTACGTAGGTCTACCACATTCCTATTTCTTGCTTTTGTCATACAGGCCACGGACACAGGTCAAGGTTGTTGTTGTCTAACGTTGCCAACTCTATGGAGGCGAGACGCATACGCCAATACAATGTACACGAGCCTTTCAATGAATGACGTATTCTGAGAATGCTTGATGCAAATGTGTTCATTACTTGCACTGAGCATCAAACACTTGACACGCTTACACGGAATCTACACAGCTGCTGCATACCGACATAAACAGACTGAGCAAGATGTGCCATGTCAGTGATCACATCTTTCATGACTTTCGTTGCAAACAGAAGCAGTCTTAACAAACTTCAGCCATTTGTCCATAGTGCAATCATAAAGCTTGAATGTTCATGCAATAACAACATAAATTTAATGTTGAAGTTCAATTGTGTAGATCTGTGAGAATCATAATAAACTGATGGTATGATTTTCTCTCGACATTATTATCGTTAGCCGCTATTGAATGTCAACGTATTGTCAATACATCGCTTGTGGATACTTCTTGTGGATTGGATTTTGTCATTTTATGTGCAGTAATTACGTCATTAATAGCGGCGAGGTGGCGCCAGGTGGGAACTCGATACATGCATACGTAGGGGGCGGTAGATTGTGAAGTGAGTGAAACAGAAACAACGTTGTATTCAAAGGATATATTCCACCTTCAGCTGCATATACTCAAAACAAGTGTATACCTACAGGTACGTATATAAGTAGATATAGTGACATTACTGATTTCTGACAAATATTACGTACATGCTTCCCGTCAAAAGAAAGCTGACGTGACCTGTTGTGAGATACTAATATTAAGCATGTAATGTAGCCCTTGATATCAGTATGAAACATATGGCATGAAATAAAAAAATTCCTTGATTTTTCAGTCTACATATCAAATATTGCTGTTTCACGCCCTGTGTTGCCCGGTACTGCATGTGTGTAATGGATGACCAGATGCTAATGAAAAAGACATTATTTCTTAGTCTTATACTCTTCTGTTTATCTGTTTGATGATTATGATAATTATTTGTGAACTTTCGCTGTACTTAGTTCAACTGGACGAAACTAAACACCATTTAATATCAAATATTACCTTGTCAAAGGCTTAACCACAGATATCTTGGTATCTTGGCAGTTAAACATTGCATACAATAATAACGCGATTTGTAATCTGCCCTACATACAGGATACAAGGGCCATGTCAGTCGCAGATACCAAGCTGGACGAGCTGTCAGAAGCGACTACTGACTGCGTCGCCCGCCACGACCACGTTGTGCAGCAGTTGTTGGAACTGGCAAATGAGCTGGACAAGGAAGAAAGGGAGGTTGACATCGCCAAGATTGGCTTTGCCAGCACTGGAGCTGTGGGAGGAGGACTGGCGTTACTTGGGTTCGGTCTGATCTTTTTTACCTTTGGGGCTTCCCTCATCCTGACAGCTGTAGGGTCGGGTATAGCCGCCGTCAGCGGGGTTGGAGGACTGGCGGCAACGGTCACAGAGAAGATCATGAAAAACCAAAAGTTGAAGGAGGCCAAGGCAGCTGTTCAGGCCTATTCAGATTCAATCAAATCGTTTTCGCATGTTTTGGAATCGTTTTGTAAACTGCTACCACATGAGGACCAGGAGAAGGTGTGGAAATCATTGAAGGATAACATTGAAATGGAAATGACAATAAGTGTTATTTCAGACGGTTGCAAACTTGTAGACACCATAGCCAGCATCAAGAAGTTGATAACAGCGGCTAACAATGTCAAGGACGTAGTGGAGGGACTGCAAGGGGAGGGAACTGCTGCAGCAAATGTCGTAGCTGGAGGGGGGAATCTAGCCAAAGAAGGCGAAGAAATTTTTCAAGCTCTGAGTACTGGGGCTAAAGCTGTGCAAATAGCAGGCGTTGTCTTGTCCGGAGTAGGCGTGGTCATTGACATTGGTTCTATCATATACTATGGGATCAAAGTTCATAACAGAAAACCCTCCGAAGTTGCTGAACTCATAAGGAAATTGGCGAAATCAATGAACTAGCATTTGTCCAATGTTGTTAAATGTCAATACAATGACTTTATACATACTAAACTGTATAGTTTTGTTTAACTCTATCGGTCTTGTACATTGCTATTGATATCGGTTACACGATGCGCATGATAGCCCGCCTGTCACATTGATGTAGGTGTTCTGAATTGATGCGACAAGACTCACGTGACACTGATAGACTCTATTCACTAAAAGGCCATTTACCGTTTGCAGAAACACGTAGCGTTTCAACGTAATTAAAATACAGATGTAATTGAAATATGCCAGCTGATGATGAGGCTAACTACAAATGAAACAAAATCCTTCCTGAGCATGAAGCACAAACCTGAGCCTTGTGTGCAAATACTCAAATTCCAAATTGTCTAAATTAACAATTAATCAAATGATCAAATACGTTCTGTTTTAGATCAATTGGGGATATAACCATGACTGATGGAGATAAACAAAACCATTTCTGTGTTCTACCACAAGAATATACTATGAACCCTGGTCCCGATTTCTCGAAGCAAACTTAAGTTTTTACTCAAATTTCAAACTGGCAATTTGATAAAGCTGAATTCTTAACTTAACTGCATGTTTGAAATAAAAAGAGCAAAAAAAATAAGTAACATGTCCATTAAACTCAAAGAGTCTGATATATTTGATGTTAATATCAATTTCAGCTCATTCTGGGAAATATGTTTTCTGCGAGAAATCGGGGTGTGGTCCAACATTGGGGCCATGCGATCCGATGACACAGGACACAGTTTGTGTTATAAAACTGAGCATATTCAGGCGGCAACCTGGGGTTGAACAGTTAATCCTGGTATTGTTGATTGCTTTACTCGCTCGTATTTGATACAGTCTCTTTTGATAAGACATACCTATAGTGAACATGTGTTGTAATTCAACTGCTTTGATGAAGTAACTAAAATCACAAAGAGGTCGAATAATGTCAAATATCTGCGGCCACAATTTATTATTCACAACCGTGTACAGCATCGAGTAACACACCTGTAGTGTATATCATGTCATTTAAATAGGTGATGAAACAACGCAAAACGTTTTACAATGTCCATATATACTACTCACAATTTGCTAACTTAACTTATACGTAGATTTATAATTTGAAATTGTATCCATTTAAACTGGATAGATATTCATATGGTAACATATCTTAAGGGAAACAGCCACTTTAAGCTAACCGTATGCACTTGATACATGAGAAGCTCTTTTGCAAATGCTTGCATACAGGCACGATATATTTAAAGTCCGTTTCCCCCACATTCATGAATCCATGGATTCCGGTGTTTATATCAAGTTTAGCACTGCTCTTCGGGATTGTTTCTGAACGTAACCACTCGTAGTTGGGGAAACCATGTATATTAATAACGCTGAAATATATAACAAATCGTTCAAAGCGTTTAAAGTCCACGTGCTCGCAGTCACCGGCATTCAAGTGAACTGTTACGTTTGAATGTAACTGTCAAATCAACAACCCATCAGAAACGCTGAACCGACCACGTGCTTCAGTAGACATATCGTTCAGTATCCCCTGTCAATGTTTACAACATTCTCCAGTGCTTGTCCGTTCATGTAACGATTATAGTTGGCCAAAAACATGGACGCCAGCTGCAAGCGAACAATATAATTAATACATGCGACAAGCATGGTGTTGTCATGTTCAATTTTAAACAGGTCGTAGTATCATTGCATTGTGTTAATATGCTTGTTACTGCGTTTGTACACACGTACAGGTCAGGGTTACGATTGATCTTCGTCAGAGGCAACTAACTAGATCGGGGTATGAGATACATAGAGATTACAAAACGAGTGTCTGTCAGATATCATTTATCTTACAACGAATTGTTTCAAAACGTATTTAACGAGCGAAAGTGATTTAAATACGTTTCGAAACAACAATTTGGAAGATAAATTATATCTGACAGACGAGAGTACAGTAATCTGTTTCTTACACACCATAAAATCGCACCATTTTATGGTGGAATAGATTCAAATTTCATATTTTCTCATCGTAGCTGCGCAAAAATACACAACACAACGTTTATGAATGTAGCATAGACATTTTTCATGTTTTTAATAAGTCAGTTTGGTTTGTTTGTATAGAACTATTTTATAATTATTGAATATAAAATGGTGTTATAGTGTTTTATTGTTTACAAGTAAATTAAGAATAAAAATATTATATAAGTCATAAAAAGGTCACTAAAAATATTGAAGGTTGGTGGTAGTGTTCTAAAGTTCGTGGTTTTATGCGTATGTCAATCATATTGATATTTGGTTGTATTTGTCAAGTATGTCAGATGAATTTCATTTATCTGAAACGTTCTTATTATGTTTAGGATTCACAAAATATGCTGGATCTAGAGTATGGTCTCATTCTGGATTATTGTTTATCACATGACCCTAATTCCTAGCTTTCAAATTCCCATAATTCCCAAGCACCAATCTGAGCACCCTTGTAATAACACTTTAGCACAGCACAGCACCCAGGCAACAGGGCAACAAGGTCCACTAAACAGCATCAAACAGGTTAGTTAAATACTTTAACACTAAATTATGCTTAAGTGTATTTGTTCTTTTACATCTCCATTAAATTAATTGCAGTCTAAATGTTATTTGGTAATTTGTAATATATGGTCATGTTGTAAACCTACTAAACTTGGTTAATTGCCTTAAAGCCGAAGTTCATGTTGCATTGTATTACAACTCATGTAAAACCAAATAGCATTATAAGTAATGTTCTGTTTTTACAACCATTTCCCTAAGTTTTCTAAATGTATTTAAGTGCAATGGTTTTCTGTGTGTTCTGTGAGGGGAAAGCAGAAAAATTGTGAAAACATTGTCATGTTGATGAATGTTCTGTATGAGCAACCATGGTGCACAGCTTTCCCTTTGTATATGCTTACAATGGTTTTCTTTGTATTGTGTGAACGGAGATCGTCAGTGACAGTGAATGTATTGTCACAATGATGAACGATGTTTGTAATTGGCGGGTCACATATGTATCAGCACAACACAGTCTAATCAGTAAGGCTCTTTTCCACAAATGGGTAAGATGTATTTTTATATGTCAATTTTATTCCTTTTTTTCGGGTAACCTTTAAGGGTTACCAAATATTTATCTGGTTGTATGTCATGTTAATTGTGAACTTTATTGTCTGTCAGATATGTATACATATTGTTGTAATTTAATATTATTTGGGCAAATGTGTTATTTGGCAATGAATTATCTCCTTGGTGTCACAACCAACGTTGTGCATATAGTTTCATGTTATTATTATTTCCTTTGACAGTTTATAATGTGGTATAATTCACATGTGTAAATGTAAGACTACAGAATTAATTATGGTAAGCTAATTGTGATACCTATGCAAAACATTATGCAATGTGTAAATGTTTCTAAGAATGTTATGTGTGTTTCAGGGCTTGATGTATAATATCTGAATAAATCGCACCTCACCCCTACAGCGAGTCATGTGATCCATTGACATTACTTGGCGATGTAACCAGCCGTAACATGAATGAGTGACGTCACTTGGCTTTCTAATCACTACTCACAGCCAAAGTGACCCACCACAAAAAAAGTTTCTGCCACATTTTCGCGTCATCAAGGCAATAGTGATAATGCACAGTAGATAAGATAACAGAAAACGAATTGAACACTCTAAAACGATAATGTTACCATGTAAATGTGGACAATTTTAATTCTTGCAAGCAAAAAATGTTTGAGCGTGTGACGTCATCGTCATCGTTTTGTGGTTGTCGTCATCGGAAGATTGCTTTGGATATCTCTGCACATTGTCATTGGGGATCTGTACTTGTGTACCAGCTTACCTTCAATTTCTCCCATCGAATCGGAGCAAAACTATTGAGTGTGTGTCATTAGGTGTAACCCTGTGCTTGAATGTGACATTGCTGAGGTTACGTTCACTATCAATGGGGACTACTCTTCTTCGCCACAGCCTTCTCGTTTTCCCAGCCAGAAACTGCCACTTGGAATGTAATGGAATTTACAGAGTTGTCAGTATGAAATGTGAGTTGATTACATCCTGTATGTTATGAATACATGAACTTTGCATTATCATGCGTCGGAGGAATATCTTAAGCAGTGACTAATGTGGAGATAATCCGTTCCTGTACATGTTCGATTGAATAGAAAGGACGTGTCCCGCCATTTGCACTCATGAACCCTTGCAAACGTTCTATGTTGTACATTGTTTCAACGAGTGTGTTTCGGTTCTGATTGTCATGAGTGAATTTCATAACATTGGAATCACATAGTAGCTCGGAGCTGGAAGTGGGTCTTCATCATGTTTATCAATGAAAAATGTCATCTTCATCAATTCATCAGAGAAACGACGAGGCAACTCGATCTCAAAATGGACAGGCACTGACGTTATCGTGTCAGGTATTTTGGCAAGACCATACATGACTTGTCGCATTTCTCCCGTAAAATACCAATGTTGTACACTGAGCGATTTTGAATCCATGACTATAAATCAAAAGTTTAATAAAAGGAATTAGAAAATACATAGATTCGTGTTATATTTCTTCAAATTCTGTTTCATTGTATAAATACCCGTTTATGTTGCAATCGTGAAAATAACAGGTAGGTGTAAAAGGCTTTTTTTGGCACGAGTAACAGGTTTCTGTTCGATTGAAGCACGAGGAACTTATCAATGAATTTTAATCAGGAAAGTAGTCCGTCATAACATGACCCTAGGGCATCACCATGGAGTAGCCAATCACGGGATTAGAAATCGATCTCACACATATGTGTGTTACCAGTTTTCTCACATGGGTTTCTCACCCACGGGTATGTAAGAAACTTCATATTTCAGTGCTCATGATGTCAATCACTGGAGTTTTAGTCCAGATTCGACTATTTACAGACCGACATCATGAAGATGGAAAATTACACAACAAACGAATACCGCCAGTTTGCCTTTCACGGAATAGAGAACGAATCATCATGAAGTGCATTTCCACTACATGAATGTCATTGTTCTACAGTAAACCTTAAAGATCTGAGTGTTTATATTACTAAGTGTACCTTTTTGTATGAGTCCATACAATCACTTTGGTTAGATTCGTGGGGTGTGATCACCACGTCACTCTCTCCCCACAGAGGACTATCTCGAGACAAGGGCTCCTCCGTAAAGATGTCCAGCACAGCCCCCGATAGCCATCCTCCTCTAAACACAGATTTAGTCTCCGCAGTATTATGTTTCAATGGGAATAGATCACCTGTGATAGTAAGCTCTATTGTCATCTTTTAACATTCACGCATGTCGATAATTAGTGACTTCGAGGATGGATCCACTGTTGAGGTGTAGCGTGGATACCAGGGGTTGATTCCCTTACATGGACAAAACACAATATTCCACAAATTCACGACTTACTCGTGGTGACAGGGATCTAATCTGTACTGCAGAAAGCATGCAGAATATATCGGAATGACAATGATTACCTGAGTGCTGAAAGAAGACTCTCATCGTCAATTATGTCTCCGCGTCCAACGTTGATGAACAGAGGCTGTTGAAGACGATGACTCCACATCATATAATACGTACATTAGAGTGAGTGAGTGAGTTAAAACTTTACATCGTAAATTAGAACACACACAAGATACATAAATCATTAAACAGCACATCAAAGTATTTATAATACAAAAGATGTTTTCATTTCGTTTCACAATGTATAATGTTATATGTGTTTTGTATGTTTGTATTATTGGAAAACATTTGAATAGAAATAGAAACAAAATCATACTGCACATCATGAGCTGTTGGATGGAAACTGCAGAAGAAAGGGTGACCCACAGCTTCATTTCTCCTTACCTTCTTCCTACAGTGGGAAAGCACGTCTCCACTCAGAAGACCCCGAGTTTGAGGTGTAGACGGCAGAATGTTGACCAGGAAATCACAGGAGGACAGTAGTTCAAGCAGATCACATGGTTGTCTTTATATAAAACATGCACATTCCAGGCGACAGGACATCGAGTAGTTCACATTGTTGTCTGTATATAACATGTACAATATAGGAGATCATGTAGATCACAGGTTTTTCTGGATGAGTTCCAGTTAGATATGCTACAGTAACTCGGGTAGATAATATATGGTTGTTTGTGCCAAAAACGTACATATATTTTCTATACTTCTACAGGAAAGAACTGTCGTTGTCAATGAAAATCCTAACTGTACAAAGAGAGGTTCCTAAGACGTCAGAGTGTCGTTTAGCGCACTGTACATTTAAAGCATCAACATCTTACCGCAGTGGGAAGACTCCACCTCACACAGTGATACGTAGACATACAGAAGAACATCCTTATGTTATACCTGTACTCATCCACAAATGTCTTCCTGTCTTCTTCCTTGACTTCAGATCGTTTCAAACCCCACACAGTCATATCCCAGTATTTACATGCACGGGCAACTGAAAACCCAAACACAACGTATACAAACTGCAGTTTATTTCAAATAGTCATTGACTATCAAGATAACATTTGAATATATAATGTCGTTATGTACAAATATATTTGATCGACATCCTCCAGGTAAACAGTGACAAAGAATGACACCATTGTCGCTAGCCTTGTCACTACCAGAGGGACGGAGTATGTTCACCTTTACCCGAACACCCGGTATCATCAGTATTTGATTGTGATTCATCAACACATGCTTGTAATATAATTAATGCAATCGAATCAGCTTTTATCGTGGATGTCTTATTGAAATGGAAAGGGTTTTATCGCCTTTGTCTACATCTGCTGTAAAGCGAAGTGAAGAGATCGTATTTGCATACTGAGGTATTTTAATTGAGACAATTCTTTAATCAGTGCTTTTTATTTTCAACAGTGTCATCAAATATCCGATAGATAGGTGAATAATGTGGACATGTTTCTTTAGTTTTGTCTACCTTCGCTGCCAATAGCTCCCAGTCCCAGTGTCCCCACCGTACACGAGCTGAGGTGCTTCATCCCAGAATCGGGGGTTGTTCTGAAAGATGTTTTCAACAACCTCTACATGTTGTTTCAAAGATATTAGTCAACTCCGGTGAAAAGAAAGTATATATCTGAAAAATGTTTTTGACAAACTAATTACAACATGTTTAAAACATTACAAGGTTGAATATCGTCACCGAAACATTACCAAGCCAAGATCCAGAGTAGAAAGTTTACGGTAACTATACCTGTAACTGTATACATTCTCATCGAATGACCATTTTTGTTTGTTTATAGTTTAGCCAGCATCGATCATGCGTGTAAAAAAGACAGTGCTGTTAGACTATACATTGCTGGGTTTTGACATCGAATCATGGCGTCATATCGTGAAATGTCTATATCCTGATTTAGGGATGCACAAGGGAAGGTAAGTCAGGTGATGTCATGAGTCCTGGGTAAGGCCAGATTAAGACAATGGTGGTTTGAGTTTTTTTCTGATCCATGTGAGTCACATGTAGTACATACGAGGAACTTTTCGGAAATAAGGTGATATGCAAAATTGGGATTCTACCTAAAGGTATATCAGTGGTTAATCTACCTTATCAAGCTCATAAGACATTTATAAGTCATGTCTAAGATGTACACATGCCTGTCCCTCGTGCGTTGGTTTTGCTGCCTCTGAAAGTGTCGGAAGTTCATGTTGGCAGAGATGATTTGACCAATGACATACTGGGAGATCGGAGATTGGAACGTCATGGCGTTACGGGTCACCGTGATGCGGGTGGCAGCTGAATCAGGATGTAAATGGCAGCATAAATAGGCTTTCACACCACCAACTCAGGCCTGACAAAAACGACTCGACTTTTAAGTATTTTCAGAATGATTACTTACGTCCCGTTTGATCTTCAGCACTGCATCAACTCCTGGAATGAATGAAATCTATGTGGAAGTTTACATGTAGTATTTAGTTTTATTCAAAGAACACAAGCAGCTGCCGTGCATTGGAGGGTACACTCAACATTAATTGCATAACACAACTGAAAAGGGAAGGCGTCTCAATTCGCCATCTGTGCTACTGCAGAGTGCAGAACGTCGTCCAACATGTTAGTTACAATTTCCTGGGCATATGGTGCTGGTGTTGGTTTCTGTCGAGATTCCATCATCTAGTCTCATCCGGCGTTTGGATCCACCTCAGATTGGGCAGCAGGTGTAAGTTCTGACACACGTGTACTGAGGATCCAAAGTAGACTTCTAAATCTTTCCAGCAGGATCTGTCTGGGGTCTGGAGATACTCTGAGCTCCCTGTCACAGAAACATATCGTTATACTGTTGATATGAGCAGTACACACTGTTACTCTAGTAGGTGTGCATTAGTAAATCATCTGCGCAGATTGCTCAGTGATTCCTTCAGACACTATGCTCGACCTATATGTGTATCTATGGTCCCGTGGGAACCCAAACACAACACTATACAGTGGTTACAAACTTGTACACACTGCGATACAGTATCAGTAATTCAACAATCCTTTACAGTTTACTACACAGTTGGTAGCAGTGGTTCAATAAAGAAAACCTACACACTTTACTTTACAACTGATATCAGTGGTTCGATAAAAAATATGTACACAATACTACATTACTCATAGTGGTTCAATGAAAACAGTACACACTACTTCATAGTTTATACTAGTTACGTTCTGACTTACCGATCCACGATGTTTCTAGAAGGTGCAGTATTACAAGATACGCCTGACACACAGTGTTGTTATGTATACATCGTTTGTTTATAACTCGGAATCATCACTTACATGCGCTGAAACTAAACGACGGGCAAAGAGTCTCAGGTGACAAAACATATGTTATATTTGGAATTATACTTACTCAATAAGGGACCGATTCTACTACTTTTATTAGGTTGAGTCCCATGCAGGATTCGTACACACACTCCCGGCCAGCACACAAAGTCAGCGTGACGTGATCATCAAATGTACTGGGACTTCACACACTGATTGAGACTCAAATCCAACTCGAGACAAATCCATATACACTTACACCTGTGTTTCAGTAGAACCCGCCGGTGGTCAAGTCGTGGTTCCTGCTGCTGTAGGAAGGTGTTGATGTGGTCGTTTGGGAAGGCAGTAAGTACTACCGGTCTTCTCCGATTCTTGTCATGACGCTGAATAAACGAGAGGTGCTTGGGCACATGAAATAGAATTTCTATTGTGTCACAGATTAAATCCTTTTGTAATGTGAACAATCGACTCAGATGAGATTTATTATAATATGCAACAAAATTTGACACCAGAAATGGGCTTCATACATTGTATCTATGTGGGGAAACGAACCCGGGTCTTCGGCGTGACCAGCGAAGACTTTAACCACTAGGCTACCCAACTGCCCCCTTATATATACATCTTGAGTCGTATCCCAGAGGTTCAGTCGTCTTAGGAACTGGACTAGTGCTATGCAAAGTTGCTGTCCCGGGGCAAGCCAGAAACCCTTGATAGTGAGTCCGAATCCTGTTTGCCCCAATTGTGTTTGTAGGCTTGGCAAATTTCATCGTGTGTTCAATAGTTTAAGTATTGTGGTAAAGATCTGAGCCCTGTATTATTCTATGGTTTACTCTGACATCAAGGTGTCTCGCCGTGACCGGAATACTATTCAAACACAATCACACTCCCTCGCAGCTGGGATTGCTACTAAAAAACATGCATTCATGAAGCAATGAATACAGACCTGACGGTGATTTTAGCGTCTTTAAGACAGTCAGTGCCATGAAATCTGAGGGTCAAGAGCTATGTAGATATATTCACAGAGGCTTTGTCTAAGTCCAAAGACGGAATCTTACTGCATCCATAGTATTCTGCGCAGCTTGTAGAAATGTGGCAACTTTTTACCTACCCTTACAGCACTCTCTTATTAGATGGTGTTGACAACGGCCGAGTCAGGTTTTTGTGGTAGCCTAGTGGCTAAGGCGTTCACTCGTCACGGGTTCGGTTTCCCAAATGGGTACAATGAGTGAAGCCCATTTCTGGTGTCCCCCTGGAATATTGCTAAAAGCGGCGTAAAACTAAACTCACACCACATTTGATTTCCTATTGATGTGCCATTAATAACCCACCTCATCCAACCAGACTGAGTTTATATGGCCTTTTAGATCTAATCTCAAAAGATTTACGCATTCACTGTGACAATATCGAAGAGTGACGGCTTTCACATGAGTGTTTTGAGAGCGTTGACAACATTTTACCCATAGACGCTGCAGCACTCAAGTATGAATGTCATTACGTTCACATACAATATTGTCACACACTGTACTGAGGGGAAGCAGTTCGACCTCCACACATGGTTTGTTTGTTGTTTAACGCCCCACTCAGCAATAGTCCTGCTATATGGCTGTGGTCTGTAAACAATCGACTCTAGACCAGACAATCCAGTGATCAACAGCATGAGCATCAATCTACGCAACAAGTGTCAACCAAGTCAGCGACCCTGACCACCTGATCCCGTTAGTCGCCTCTTGAGACAAGCATGGGTTGCTGAAGATCACTTCTAACCCGGATATTCACGAGTCCATCCACATATAACTCTGCTATCCTCGAGTACATTTATATTGTGCTTGCAGCATGTTGGTAACTTCAGATTTAAGCATGTTAGGATCATTTAATTGTCAGATGTTCGCATATTAAATCTAATAATGTCTTCAAAGCAACCATGATACACCCAAGTGAGTAAATATACACAGGCCTTCGACGTGACGAAGAAACACATTGTCCTCTGGGCTACCCTCCCTGCCTGCAAATGATTCGTTATGAAATGGTAGTAGCGTATTGAATAAACATGATAATTACCTTGAAGGCAAACACCAGCCGTTAGTGGCGGCCATTTTGAAGACTTAAGGACGTTCTCAAAAAGTCATCTCAAATACCCATAACCCTCAAAGCATTTTTTTGAATATGACTTAGAACATCTTCAGATTAAAGTGTACATTTTTGTGTTTCTCATAATGTTTTAGATTTTAGACGTTCTAAACGGTCTAAGAATATTTATGAATACGAACCATCTGTACAATATGTGACAGGATCAAACATGATAGAAGCCATTATTGAAACTATATTATCATGAATAGTAAGTCAACAATTACGAGCTCGTGCAGCCTCCGAACACATCAGTTGGACGTTGTAAACATCGAAAACCAGAAGCCAGACTTGGTTACATTACACATAGAACACTGATGTCAATCACACGAGACAAAGACGGACTGTGATGTACTTACTGGAAGACAGAGAATGGTTGATCTTACAACGTTAAATGGACGGTTATCGACAAGACCTGGGATGACAAGAGTGCACTGTGGGTATTCCGATCACGAACTGAGGTAAGGTGACCGAGTCCTGAATCTACTTTGTGTGGGATAAGGGCTTGATAAATTTAATTTATTCATCACGATTAGTCAAGCATTGCTTTTACAGTGTTCAAACCAATTGCCCGGTTACAGAGATGTCTGTACGTATGTCTATAGCGCCACAAAGTGTGACAAGCTTTCCAAAACAGATGTTTTGTTTCGAATAGGACTGTACTCTCGGTTCAGTGATTTCTGAAGGTGCAAATAACAATAAATACCTTCGACCATCGCCCAACGCTCATCTGGACTTTGCAAAATGCATGACGGCAGCACTCAACAAGTCGCACTCTGGATGTAGATATTAGAGAATGGTTGGACTCAAAGGTTTTCATCTTGTTTTACCCTTTGACCTTCTAACTAAGGCTTTTATGAAGAATATCTAAATACAATAAAAACAGGCAGACAATTCTTTTCGTGAATTGAGTTGAAACTCCTTAAAAAAGAAGCGAGATGTGAAATTATCTACAGACATTTGACAAACGATTTTAATTCATCAGACTGCAAAAAACCTGTAACAACATTAGTGCCAAAAAACCAAACAACCCACAAGTTCCACTCCTAGTCTTCGCAACTCATGGAATAGAATAAGCATGAAATATCAATATACACTATTTCAAAAAGTAGGGGACATTCAATAAAAAGGTGTCACTACCATAGATATTTCAAATCTTCAAAGTATGGATAGTTTAACATTGTAACAGGAAATCTGGCGGAGATATGCATTTGCTGTTGAACGTTAAATGACCATAGATATTGTCATATGATAAGCTACAGTTTATCACATCATTCACTACACGAAGTCAAACTTATCACTATAACCTCTATTCTCAAGACACTCCCACATTGGACGAGGCTTCAACTATACAAACGGCCAACATCAGCTTGGCTTGTTTCATCCCATTCTTATGGAAGAGTAGCGCCAAGTACGTTGAGAGAGGGCGGTGTGTTTGGTGCAGATTGCACTAAGTACGCCTCCAGGGTGTTGTCACTGTAGTACTGATTAGTAACACGACCAGGAATAACATATACAGGTGTTCTACCAGCCATAGTGATCCCACCCTTAACTATAACTGAGCCACCCCCAACCTGATTATTATGTCTAACGTTAACAGCATGAAAACGCTCGTTCTGTCCACGCTACACTCCGTTGCGGACAAATTTTGATTCGTTCGCAAACGTAACGTTTGCCAAGCGACGACCTGTGTCTCGCTCAAACACCTGCAGCTCTGTGAAGTTCATCTCCAATTTGAGAAGCACTATGTATGATCACTGTCCAGTGTGCCAGTTTTTGCCTTTGGTCGTCCAGATCGACATTTGTCAGTTCAAATATATTTGATTTACACATCACTACAAGGTTTCAGAAATGAAATTTTAAAATACATAGACTGGATTCAGCATTTGCATGGTGGAATACATTCAAACAATTCAGCAACCTACCTGTATAGGTTCGAATTGGTTTAATTACTTGACTCGTGCAAAAACAATTTGCATGGAAGTTCAGTATTGAGATGATATTTAATTAGATGGCCACTGAAAATGTGGACAATGGACAGTGAAGCCACTGCAGTAATCAGGTAATTAATGGATCAACACCTTTCAGTCCTCGGTAATGCCTATAGTTCCCTTCAGAGGTGTGGGGTCGAGATCACACATGATGTCACCACACCACAGCGACTTAATAGGTGTGGGGATGGGGATGGTGATTTGTAAAGGGGGGACGCCAAGAGGGGTGGGGTGTTAACGATTTGTCACCTTACCTATCATCGGATACCAGAGCTCTCAATCTATATTTCAAAGCAGTTCAAATATGCAAGAGAATTTGATTGAATCAAAGCTTACATATTTCTCGAGTTATTTGATAATCTCTTTTGGAAAAACTATTTGTTGTGAATGTCTGTTAGGTTAATTTGGGACGAAGCGTATCTTTTGATACTTCTATTGATAAATTACTATTGGTGTATTTATCTCTTGATACTTCTATTGATAAATTACTATTGGTGTATTAATCTCTTGATACCTTTATTGATACATTACACTTTGAACTGATGGTGAAATGGAACGACACAGTGTTGGTATCCAAATGCTTGTTTAGTTTATGGATTAAACATGATAAGCCAAAGTTGAGTTGTACTGATTAATCAAGCCATTACAATCCGTAATGTATGTGACTGTCTTCCTTTCATAATATAACTTTCATTCACAAATTTGCCCTGATCAAGTCTACCAAAAGATAATAAAGACAAGTATATATAAGTATGAACAATGTTGACAGCGAAGGTGGAATAGGTATGGATGCTAACTATGGAGGTTTAATGACACCTCAGTGACAACACTGACAACAGTTGTTCAACATTGTACGATGAAAGTGGTTCATGCATCAAGACATCGATACATAAATAGTAATGTATCAATAAAGGTATCGAGAGATTAACACACCAATAGTAATTTATCAAAAGAAGTATCAAGAGATTAACACACCAATAGGAATTTATCAAAAGAAGTATCAAGAGATAAACACACCAATAGTAATTTATCAATAGAAGTATCAAGAGATTAACACACCAATAGTAATTTACCAATAGAAGCATCAAGAGATAAACTCACCAATAGTAATTTATCAAAAGACGTATCAAGAGATAAACACACCAATAGTAATTTACCAATAGAAGTATCAAGAGATTAACACACCAATAGTAATTTACCGATAGAAGTATCAAGAGATAAACACACCAATAGTAATTTATCAATAGAAGCATCAAGAGATAAACACACCAATAGTACTTTACCAATAGAAGTATCAAGAGATAAACACACCGATAGTAATTTACCAATGGAAGCATCAAGAGATAAACACACCAATAGTAATTTATCAAAAGAAGTATCAAGAGATTAACACACCAATAGTAATTTATCAAAAGAAGTATCAAGAGATTAACACACCAATAGGAATTTATCAAAAGAACTATCAAGAGATAAACACACCAATAGTAATTTATCAATAGAAGCATCAAGAGATAAACACACCAATAGTAATTTACAAATAGAAGTATCAAGAGATAAACACACCAATAGTAATTTAGCATCCATATCTATCCCCCCTTCGTTGCCAACATTGTTCATACCTTATTATCTTTTGGAAGACTTGATCAGGTCAAATTTGTGAATGTGAATGGGTATATCCGCCGTCAGCGGGGTTGGAGGACTGGCGACAACGATCACAGAGAAGATCATGAAAAAACAAAACTTGAAGGAGGCCAAGGCAGCTGTTCAGGCCTATTCAAATTCACTCAAATCGTTTTCGCATGTTTTGGAATCGTTTTGTACACTGCTACCTGATGAGGACCAAGAGGTGTGGAAATCATTTAAGGATAACACTGAAATGGAAATGACAATAAGTAGTGTTATTTCAGACGGTCGCAAACTTGTAGACACCATAGCCAGTATCAAGATGTTGATGACAGCGGCTTACAACCGCTGCAGCAAAAGTCGTAGATGTAGGGAAAATCTAGCCAAAGAAGGCGACGAAGCTTTTCAAGCTCTTGAGTACTGGGGTTAAAGCTGTGCAAATAGGAGGCGTTGTCTTGTCCGGGGCAGGCGTGGTCATTGACATTGGTTCCATCATTTACTATGGGATCAAAGTTCATAACAGAAAACCCTCCGAAGTTGCTGAACTCATAAGAACTAGCATTTGTCCAATGTTGTTAAATGTCAATACATGTACAATGACTGTATGCATACAAAGTGTATAGTTTTGTTTAACCCTATCGGTCTTGTACATTGCTATTGTTATCGGTTACACGATGCGCATGATATGCTCGCCTGTTACATTGATGTAGGTGTTCTGAATTGATGCGACAAGACTCACGTGACACTGATAGGCTCTCATCACTAAAAGGTTATTTTCCGTTTGCAGAAACACGTAGCGTTACAACGTAATTAAAATACAGATGTAATTGAAATATGCCAGCTGATGATGAGGCTAAGTGCAAATGAAACAAAATCCTTGCTGAGCATGAAGCACAAACCTGAGCTTTGTGTCCAATACTCAAATTCCAAATTGTCTAAATTAACAATTAATCAAATGATCAAATACGTTCTGTTTTAGATCATTTGGGGATATAACCATGACTGATGTAGATAAACATAACCATTTCTGTGTTCTACCACAAGAATATACTATGAACCCTGGCCCCAATTTCTCGAAACAAACTTAAGTTTTTACTCAAATTTCAAACTGGCAATTTGGAACAGCTGAATTCTTAACCTAACTGCATGTCTCAAATAAAAAAAGAGCAAAAAAATAAGTAATATGTCCATTAAACTCAAAGAGTCTGATATATTTGATGTTAATATCAAAACTCAGACTTCAGTTTGTTTCTAGAAATGGGGCGTGGTCCAACCCTGGGCCATGTGATCAGATGACACAGGACACAGACTGTGTTATAAAACTGAGCATATCCATGCGGCAACCTGGAGTTGATCAGTTAATCCTGGCATTGTTGACTGCTTTACTAAGTAGCCCGAGCGATCTATCCAGCACTCCAGTCACTCGCACAAACGAGATGATATTTAAAAATAATAACATCAGTTCATACGTCTAACTGATTTGAGATGTTAAGCTAAGTGTTCTTCGCGAACAGTATCATTCGTGTATTGCACGAAGCACATTCAGATAACTGCTCCTATTTGATACAGTTTCTTCTCATAAGACATACCTTTAGTGAACATGTGTTGTAATTCAACTGCCTTGATGAAGTAACAAGAATCACAAAGAGGTCGAATATTGACAAATATCTGCGGCCACAATTTCTTATTCACAACCGTTTACAGCATCGAGTAACACACCTGTAGTGTTTATTATGTCATTTAAATAGGTGATGAAACAACGCAAAACGTTTTTACAATGTCCATATATACTACGCACACTTTGCTAACTTTACTTATACGTAGATTTATAATTTGAAATTGTATCCATTTAAACTGGATAAATATTCATATGGTAACATATCTTTAGGAAAACAGCCACTTGATACATGAGAAGCTCTTTTGCAAATGCTTGCATACAGGCACGATATATTATATGTCCGTTTCCCCAAATTCATGAATCAATGGATTCTGGCGTTTATATCAAATTTAGCACTGCTCCTCGGGATTGTTTCTGAATGTAAACACTCGTAAAACATGTATATAATAACGCTGAAATATCCAACAAATCGTTCAAAGAGTTTAAAGTCCAAGTGCTCGCAGTCACCGGCATTTAAGTGAACTGTTACGTTTGAATGTAACTGTCAAATCAACAATCCAACAGAAACGCTGAACCGATCGAGTGCTTCAGTAGACATATCGTTCAGTATCCCCTGTCAATGTTTACAACATTCTCCAGTGCTTGTCCGTTCAGGTACCGATTATAGTTGGCCAAAAACATGGACGCCAGCTGCAAAAGAACAATATGATTAATACATGCGATAAGCATGGTGTTGTCATGTTCAATTTTAAACAGGTCGTAGTATCATGGCATTGTGTTAATATGCTTGTTACTGCGTTTGAACACACGTACAGGTCAGGGTTACGATTGATCTTCGTCAGAGGCAACTAACTAGATCGGGGTATGAGATACACTTCATATTTCGGTGCTCATGATGTCAATCACTGGATTTTTAGTCCAAATTCGACTATTTACAGACCGACATCATGACGATGGAAAATTACACAACAAACGAATACCGCCAGTTTGCCTTTCACGGAATAGAGAACAAATCATCATGAAGTGAATTTCCACTACATGAATGTCATTGTTCTACAGCACACCTTAAAGATCTCAGAGTGTTTGTATTACTAAGTGTACCTTTTTGTATGAGTCCATACAATCACTTTGGTTAGATACGTGGGGTGTGATCACCACGTCCCTCTCTCCCCACAGAGGACTATCTCGAGACAAGGGCTCCTCCGTAAAGATGTCCAGCACAGCCCCCGATAGCCATCCTCCTCTAAACACATATAGTCTCCATAGTATTATGTGTCAATGGGAAAAGATCACCTGTGATAGTAAGCTCTATTGTCATCTTTTAACATTCACGCATGTCGATAATTAGTGACTTCGAGGATGGATCCATGGTTGAGGTGTAGCATGGATACCAGGGGTTTATTCCCTTACATGGGCAAAACACAATATTCCACATCTTCACTACTTACTCGTGGTGACAAGGATATAATCTGTACTACAGAAAGCCTGCAGGATATGTCGGAATGACAATGATTACCTGAGTGCTGAAAGGAGACTCTCATCGTCAATTATGTCTCCGCGTCCAACGTTGATGAACAGAGGCTGTTGAAGATGATGACTCCACATCATACAATACGTACATTAAAACACACAAGATACATAAATTATTTAACAGCACATCAATTTATACTGACACACATTGAAAACGCAAAACCCATTTTGGCAATTTCTAACAAAGTTTTGTGAAGCAATTTCATTTACCACACGAAAATATAGTTATGTGAGGTTGTCGAATAAAACCATATGCACATTTGGGGTCGAACTCTTTTCGTGTTTCTGGCATGGGTACAGTTCATGAAAACACAACTCTGGCATATTCCTTGGACCTGTTGTGGTGCATGATAATCATGACATACACATGCAAAGCCAGGTTTTGGACGCATAAAAGGCACTATGGTTCAACCGTTTCATTAGCAGTCACACAATGCCACGGCTCAGTGAACAGCAGAGGGAACAAGCTATCGGGATGCTGTTGGTGGGAATATCACAAAATGAGGTCACCCACCACTTCGGAGTGAGCCCATCCACCATCAAAAGACTCTGGAAACGTCATTACGCAACGACATCGAGTCAACAGACTCCTGTTTGCACAGCAACATAGCCTCCAACCACCATGAATCTCCAACCAGTCGGTGTTTTTCAATGGGTCCAGGTTCTGTGTGTCATTTGCAGATGGCAGACAATGCGTCTACAGGCAGCAACATGAACATGAGCTTGGTCGCCGGATTCATCAATGGCAACGTCAACGTCAGCCAAACAACGTTGCTGAGTTGACCCTGGCTTTACAACAGTAGTGGCAGCACATCCCCAAAGGACCTATTCGACGTTTGTGCGAATCCATGCCACGTCGACTCCGTGCACATGTGTACAGGCTCAGGGAGGTCACAGCTACTGACGGACGTGGTGGGGAGGGTGGGACTCGGGGTGTTAGGGGTGGGTGTGGGAGGGTTGAGGGGTGGGGGTCTGTGTGTGTCTTGACGTGTCAGTCATATTGGTGGAACTCTTGCAATCATTATTTATGAAAATGAAGCACAATGAAATTCTCAACATATTTGCAGAACAATTTTCATCCAAGTATTGTTGTTTGTTAAGTTTTGCTCATTTGAATTTGAATTTGATTTTGCGTTTTCAATGTGTGTCAGTATATTTATAATACAAAAGATTTGTTTTATTTCATTTCACAATGTATAATGTTATATGTGTATTGTATGTTTGTATTTTGGCATACATTTGAATAGAAATACAAACAAAATCATCCTGCTCGACATCATGAGCTGTTGGATGGAGACGGCAGAAGAAAGGGTGACCCACAGCTTCATTTCTCCTTACCTTCTTCCTACAGTGGGAAAGCACGTCTCCACTCAGAAGACCCCGAGTTTCAGGTGTAGACGGTAGAATGTTGACCAGGAAATCACAGGAGGACAGTAGTTCAAGCAGATCACATGGTTGTCTTTATATGAAACATGCACTTTACAGGCGACAGGAGATCGAGTAGTTCACATTGTTGTCTGTATATAACATGTACAATATAGGAGATCATGTAGATCACAGGTTTTTCTGGATGAGTTCCAGTCAGATATGCTACAGTAACTCGGGTAGATAATATAAGGTTGTTTGGGCTAAAAAATGACGTACATATAGCTTATTTTCTACCCTTTCTGCAGGAAAGAACTGTCGTTGTCAATGAAAATCCTAACTGTACAAAGAGAGGTCCCTAAGACGTCAGAGAGTCATTTAGTGCACTGTACATTTAAAGCATCAACATCTTACCGCAGTAGGAAGACTCCACCTCACACAGTGTTACGCAGACATACAGAAGAACATCCTTATGTTATACCTGTACTCATCCACAAATGTCTTCCTGTCTTCTTTCTTGACTTCAGATCGTTTCAAACCCCACACAGTCATATCCCAGTATTTACATGCACGGGCAACTGAAAACCCAAACACAACGTATACAAACTGCAGTTTATTTCAAATAGTCATTGACTATTAAGATAACATTTGAATATATAATGTCGTTATGTACAAATGTATTTGATCGACATCCTCCAGGTAAACAGTGACAAAGAATGACACCATTGTCGCTAGCCTTGTCACTACCAGAGGGACGGAGTATGCTCACCTTTTCGCGAACACCCGGTATCATCAGGTATATGATTGTGATTCATAAACACATGCTTGTGATATAGTTAATGCAATCGAATCAGCTTTTATCGTGGATTTCTTATTGAAATGGAAAGGGTTTTATCGCCTTGGCTATATCTGCTGTAAAAGCGAAGTGAAGGGATCGTGTTTGCATACTGAGGTATTTTCATTGAGACAATTCTTTGATCAGTGCTTTTTATTTTCAACAGTGTAATCAAATATCCGATAGAAAGGTGAATAATGTGGACAAGTTTCTTGAGTTTTGTCTACCTTCGCTGCCAATAGCTCCCAGTCCCAGTATCCCCACCGTACACGAGCTGAGATGCTTCAATCCAGAATCGGGGGTTGTTCTGAAAGATGTTTTCAACAACCTCTACATGTTGTTTCAGAGATATTAGTCAACTCCGGTGAAAAGAAAGTATACATCTAAAAAATGTTTTTAACAAACTAATTACAACATTTTCAAAACGTTACAAGGTTGAATATCGTCACCGAAACATTGCCAGGTTAAGGTCAAGAGTAGAACGTTTACGGTAACTATACCTGTACCTGTATACATTTTCATCGAATAACCATTTTTGTTTGTTAATAGTTTAGCCAGCATCGATCATGCGGCTAGTGAAGACAGTTCTGTTAGTATAGACTATATATTTCCGAGTTTTGACATCTTCGACTCATGGCGTCATATCATGAAATGTCTATATCCTGATTTATGGATGCACAAGGGAAGGTAAATAAAGTGAGTCAGGAGTCCTGGGTAAGGCCAGATTAAGACAATGGTGGTTTGAGTTATTTTCTGATCAATGTAAGTCACATGTAGTACATACGAGGAACCTTCCGGAAATACGGTGATATGCAAAATTGGGATTCTACCTAAAGTATCAGTGGTTAATCTACGTTATAAAGCTCATAAGTCATTTATAAGTCATATCTAAGATGTACACATGCCTGTCCCACGTGCGTTGGTTTTGCTGCCTCTGAAAGTGTCGAAAGTTCATGTTGGCAGAGATGATTTGACCAATGACATACTGGGAGATCGGAGATTGGAACGTCATGGCGTTACGGGTCACCGTGATGCCGGGTGGCAGCTGAATCAGGATGTGAATGGCAGCATAAATAGGCTTTCACACCAGCAACTCAGGCCTGACAAAAACGACTCGACTTTTAAGTATTTTCAGAATGATTACTTACGTCCCATTTGATCTTCAGCACTGCATCAACTCCTGGAATGAATGAAATCTATGTGGAAGTTTACATGTAGTATTTAGGTTTATTCAAAGAACACAAGCAGCTGCCGTGCATTGGAGGGTACACTAAACATTAATTGCATAACACAACTGAAAAGGGAAGGCGTCTCAATTTGTTATCTGTGCTACTGAAGAGTGCAGAACGTCGTCCAACATGTTAGTTACAATTTCCTGTGAACCTAGGGGAATGTGGTGGTGGTGTTGATGTCTGTGTGTCGGGATTCCGTCATCTAGTCTCACCTGCCTCCGCCGTTTGGATCCACCTCAGATTGGGCAGCAGGTGTAAGATCTGACACACGTGTACTGAGGATCCAAAGTAGACTTCTACATCTTTCCAGTAGGTTCTGTCCGGGGTCTGGAGATACTCTGAGCTCCCTGTCACAGAAACATATCATTATATTGTTGATATGAGCAGTACACACTACTACTCTAGTAGGAGTGCATTAGTAAATCATCTGCGCAGATTGCTCCACTGCTGATATGCAAGGTTCATTACTTAGCAGTGTCTCGTTGATATCAATAATTTGTTTAAAAATATCTTGGTAAACAAGCATATTGCTACACTGTGGATGTAGGTGATTCATTCAGACACTATGCTCGACCTATATGTGTATCTATGGTCCCATGGGAACCCAAACACAACACTATACAGTGGTTACAAACATGTACACACTGCGATACAGTATCAGTAATTCAACAATCCTTTGCACTGTTGGTAGCAGTGGTTCAATAAAAAACCTCCACACTTTACTTTACAACTGATAACAGTGGTTCGATAATAATATGTACACAATACTACATGACTCAGAGTGGTTTAATAATAACAGTACACACTACTTCATAATATATACTACTTTAGTTACGTTCTGACTTACCGATCCACGATGTTTCCAGAATGTGAAGTATTACAAGTTAGGCCTGACACACAGTGTTGTTATGTATACATCGTTTGTTTATAACCCTGAATCATCACTTACATGCGCTGAAACTAAACGACGGGCAAAGAGTCTCAGGTGACCAAACATATGTTATATTTGGAATTATACTTTCTCAATAAGGGACCTATTCTACTACTTTTGTTAGGTTGAGTCCCATGCGGGATTCGTACACACACTCACAGAGTCAGCACACAAAGTCAGCGTGACGTGATCATCAAATGTACTGGGACTTCACACACTGATTGAAACTCAAATACAAATCGAGACAAATCCATATACACTTACACCATTGTTTCAGTAGAACCCGCCGGAGGTCAAGTCGTGGTTCCTGCTGCTGTAGGAAGATGTTGATATGGTCATGTGGGAAGGCAGTAAGTACTACCGGTCTTCTCTGATTCTTGGTCATGACGCTGAATAAACGAGAGGTGCTTGGGCACATGAAATACAATTTCTGTTGTGTCACAGATAAAATCCTTTTGTAATGTGAACAATCGACTCAGATGAGATTTAGTATAATGCTCAACAAAAGTTGTCATCAGAAATGGGCTTCATACATTGTGTCTATGTGGGGAAATGAACCCGGGTCCTTGGCGTGACCAGCAAACACTTTAACCACTAGGCTACCCAACTGCCCCCTTATATATACATCTTCGGTTGTATCCAAGAGGTTCAGTCGTCTTAGGAACTGGACTAGTGCTATGCAAAGTTGCTGTCCCGGGGCACGCCAGAAACCCTTGATAGTGTGTTCGAATCCTGTTTGCCCCAATTGTGTTTGTAGGCTTGGCAAATTTCATCGTGTGTTCAATAGTTTAAGTATTGTGGTAAAGATCTGAGACCTGAATCACTCTAGAGTTTACTCTGACATCAAGGTGTCTCGCCGTGACCGGAATACTATTCAAACACAATCACGCTACCTCGTAGCTGGGATTGCTACGCAAGAAGTCATGCATTCATGAAGCAATGAATACGGACCTGACGGTGATTTTAGCGTCTTTCAGACAGTCAGTGCCATGAAATCTGGGGGGCAAGAGCTATGTAGATATATTCTTAGATGCTTTATCTAAGTCCAGAGACGGAATATAAACTACATCTATAGTATTCTGCGCAGCTTGTAGAAATATTGCAACTTTTTACCTACCCTTGCAGCGCTATCTTATTAGATGGTGTTGACAACGGCCGAGTCAGGTTTTTGTGGTAGCATAGTGGCTAAGGCGTTCTCTCGTCACGCCGAAGGCACGGGTTCGATTCCCCAAATGGGTACAATGAGTGAAGCCCATTTCTGGTGTCCTCCGCCGTGATATTGCA